AAGTTAAACATATGAAAACAAATATTTTTAAAATATATATATCAAAAATATATTTTTGAAAGAAATTAGAAAATATAAAGCCATAATTATCACAAGTTAATTTTTTGTAACAAGTTTGAGCTTTAACAACAAACTTCTGGTTTATGTAATCTAAGTTTTAATCAACAAATTTCAAACTTCTTGTCACAAGTCGAGTCACTACAAAGTCAGCAGTCAAGTTACTGCTGTTTTGATTCACAAATATAGTTTGAGTCATGAAATTTTCAGTTGCATTGACATATGTAATTTAAATCTTGTTTTACATGAAGGTCATTTTAAACATTAACAAGGGGTTGGCAACATTTGCCCCTGTACCAAGCTGAATTTTTGTTTTATTTATACAACATTGAGCAAAGTGATAACTCACCCTATTTTTTTATAGTTAATGGCACTTCCGTAGTTCCTCGTATCTTTGCTCAGTATTTCAGAGATCAGTATTTTTTTGTATAAATGATTACGCGATGTCTTGCTTTAAGAAATATTTCTCGAGAAAAAATATTTATTTAGTCAATGCTCATGCCTAGGTATGTTTTAAAATGTAAATGAAAGAAAAAATAGAAAACCTTTCTAATTTTGACTCCAGTTTTGGTTCAGTCACATTAGCATTAGCCCATTATTCCATGCATCAGTGATTTTTGCAAATTAAGGTTGCATGCTTTTGTTCCATTTATTTTTGAAGTCATTGTACATAAGTGGACACACCCAAATTCAGTGCATTTGCAAATGACTGTTATCGGAATAGGGTGGCTCGCTGGCCTAGCAGTTAAAGCATTAGCCTTACCTCTGCCACGCCCCCAACCTCATCAGAGTGTAATAAATTCGGTAGACAATGTTAAACCGGAAAGACTGTGGCCCTCCCAAATTACAGTAGTTTTATACATATTGTGAGATATCATTGGGTGTTTAAACGTGGCTTTGTGCTTATTCGATAGTTACATGTTATTATTGATTATTGGATACTGATAAAATGGGCGGCCAAAAGTGGGTTATCAGTTATAAATTAAATAATTATGAATAATAATTGTTACTTTCTTCTAGTACATGGTTCTTCTTAGTTACGATATGTATATTAAATATATGACAATATAAAGCAAATGATTTTACTAAATTAATACTCAATTTTAATTCTAATGGATTAAAAATCTGTCAACATAAATGTGTTGACGAATACAAAAGTTATAAATCTATTTGTGAGAACCTTTTTTATGGCTCACTCTGAAATCCAGACACACAATAAACAGGCAAATTTTAATGGTAACACTCAGTAGTATTTTGAGCTTCATTATCCTCTGTTTGCATTTCTAGTGAAGTTAGGTTTCAAGGTTTTGAACATTGATGAGCAGTTTCACAAACATATTTGATTCCATAGTCTTCATTTAAGAAATTTGAATAAGCTGCTTTCCAGTAGTCTGCCAATTTCGGCACTCTGTGGATTTCTCAGTGGTCTGAAGGATTGCTATATTTCAAACACTTGTATGCGTACCATTACAAAATTCAAGGAAACAAGCATGGGTGTCATGAATGTAACAGATTTAGTTGTTACAAATCCATACTTACATGGCCGCACACTAGAAGGGAGTTGTTGACTTTCAAATGTCTAAATATAATTACAATTACTGACTGTGCCATATCATGAGCATGGAACAGAAATGCAATAGAATATAATCAGTATGATTGTTCAATAAAGAATGCCAGTATTACATACCTAGGGGAACATAATTGAAACATGCGAATTTTTAAAAAAAAAATTTTTTATACAGCATATGAAAGAAACTTGATAATAATATCAATCAGAAAGTACCAAGTTACCAAGGTAACCTAAGCCTAAGAATCAAATCAAAATTTTGTGTGGAATTGGTAAGCAGATAAATAGTAGCAAAAGATAAGATATATTTGCCAATTCGTCGTTACCTTAGTATTTTGAGTGGAAAATTCTTGTAAGAGATTTGGTAGGGATGGGAACATCCAAATATTGTGAAGTTCAAGTGATAAATGAAATGCTCACATTTTTAGGTGAGTTTCATTCATTAATATAACTGTTTTTAAGGTCGGTTAATATACTTTAGAAAAGTCATGCAAATATCAGCCCAGATGTGGCAGCAGTACTCCATGCATGGGCATATCAAGTAAAGTTTGCAATTATTTGTCTTTTAAACTTCTGAAGAAAACCAAATAAAGTGTATTTGCAAATTGCTGTTACGCATACTGAATTGACTGACTCATTAGATGATCAGAACATTGCTAATAACTGGGATTTATTACCTGTAAAGAAACTATATTTTGGATTGGAGCGAAAATAATGAATGATCAACTTTCCAAATGTTAATATATGTCCAGGATGTTGTGTACTTCAATATTAAGAAAAGTTATGCTCATATATATTTACGGTAAATACTTCGATAGCCGAGCAGTTTTATGCAGATATTTCACTTATATAGTTCCAGTTTTTATTCTACAAGAGGTGAAATCTGCTAACATAATGATATTAAGGAATACAAAGGCAGTAAATCACTATGACTGTTAGTGTTTTATAGCATGTCTTTAAGCAAATATTGTGGAATCCTTTGTTGCAGAATAAACACAATTTTTATGGTAGTGCCTGGTAATATTATAGGTTTTATTACCCACTGTTTGTATTTTGTATGACGTCAGTTGGTCAAAATAGCTACGCCTTGAAATGTTTGAGTATTTTTCTAGTCAAAGAAGAGCTGAATAGTGACTACGTGGGAAATAACAAGCCCTGAATACTAAATATGTAGATAATAATATACGACAGATATCCCACCTCAGCGGGTCAAATCAGCCACACCCTCAAATTAGCAAATGATTCTGCGTTTAGATGTTTTAATTTAATTGAAAGTATTCTAAATCGAAGAGCATTTTACTCTGGCACAGCCCCTCATATTTTGGGTTCTTTTGTTACGATTTTAATTTTTTTTGATTGATTTGATTTTTTTTTTGATAAAACGTCAAATAGCCATTGGATAAAGTTTCATAATATTTATAAATCATACTTCATAAAAGATGTTACTGGTTGATTTACACTTTCCTATTATCTAATTTTCTGTTGTCAGTTTTATTTATAAACTGAAATTGTTTTAGAATGCAAACTTTAATATAATATATTCTACCATTGTGTGTTTTTATTATAATATTGGCAAATTTATTTCATTGTATCAATACATGTTTATGCTTTTTTATATCTTAGCATATCATATTGTAGTGATAGAGAGATTTTATATTACGTATGTATGTGATGTCACACTCGAAGTATCAGGATTTAATTTTGAGCTCTGTCCTAATGTTGACAAATATTCCATTGAAAGATATCAAGAAACAGTATTTCTGCCTTCAAGCAGCCTTGTACAAGTAGTTTTATTATTCTTATAGCCAAGTCTTGCATAATTGATATCAGGTATAAGAGAATAGTTAGTCATGAAAGACGAACTAACAAAAAGTTCAAGCGTAACTCTGTAAGAATTTTACTTATACAGGCTTTAGAATGCTCTGTTGATGTGATAAATCTTTCTCTAAATAAGTCATCATTTTCATGCAATTTCTACCTCTTGATATTAAAAATGTATGATAAATTGAAAATACTCTTGTTTGGTGTAAAGAAGTTTTGTTTGAAATAAATGATAAAACCTGTTGTAGTGTAAGTGTGTTCTTTAATGGAATTTTAAATTGCAATTTTCATTTAATTTAAAAAGTCATCATTATTAGGATCACAGGTTGAATATTGTGTAACAAGTGTAAGTGTCTCCAATACTATAGGGTTGCCATACGCAATATTTTTCCCTGGCATGAGTGGGATTTTAGTGGTCAAATTTGCGTCAGGGAAAAATGTTAAAAAGTGCCTTATTGTCAGAGATTTTCGAATACAGTGAATCCCTGCTACAAATCCTCGAGTTTTCAGATATTGCGCATCCATGAAATCCTATTTTTCAGAGATATGTCACATTCTAGCATTTTTGTGCAACACGGATTGCGTCGCATTCGTGATGTCACATATGACCTGAATTGTCAGCATTCTGTAATCTGTATTTTGGTTGCACTACCTTTACCTGTATTTATTCTGTGCTAGAGTTTAGTCCAGCCTTTCTCGAACTGTGTGCTGCAAGACTTTCAAGTGTGCCGCCACCCTTTTCGGAATTTTAGAAAATAATCTGTTCCATTTCACATAGGCATGCTTGCAACGGGCAAGCTTGGGAAAGTTGAGTAACCATAATTAATTAGACTGATATTATTATTGCATTTGCCCTGTCGTGGTATTAAGGGCGGTTGTTTCGGTATAATTGTATTGTGATGTCATAACGTTTTTGTAAACAAGACGTCCACCTTCCACCATGTTGCTAATAAAACATCAATCGAAATCCTATCAAAATAAATTGAAGTTTTTATATTCATTTTGAGCACTGCAATATTTATCGATTTTATATATCTACCTGAGCATTTTCAGTTTGCAAACAATCATGTATTGCTCTGTGGTTTGCAAGCTAGTTTTAATTGATAATAGTGCAGAATATTTTATTTACTTGATATATATAAATTATCATATAAATTATATCTAAGGCAGGGCCAGACCCAAATATGGATAAAGGAAACTTACTGTTAAATAAAACTATATAGCTATGCGTTGAGGTTAAGGGAGGCTCACTCCTTATCTTTCCTTAAGCGCATATTGGAAGGATGTTGTAAATATACACAAATGTATTTTTGTAACGTTTTGTCTAACCAAAGGTATTCGTTTTTGAAATAAACTAGGACACTAGAAGCAGAAATAATAAAGTACACTAATTGTTGGATTCATTGTTGCTTACATAAATTTGTATAGCTATATATCGATATCCCTTCCCATTTTTGTCAAAAAATGAAGTCATTACTATGATGAATACTGTTCAATTACTTATCATAACTGTTCATTACTTATTACTTAAATTATCATATTTTGTTTTAGACTAAATAGCTCAGTCTGATAAGGCTGATACTCAAAACATATCATCTAATATTTTGTTCCCATAATTGGTAAAATGGCTGAATCTGGTAAAATACGAGAAATCGATTCTGTCGATTCCTCAGATGAAACTGCAGAATTTTCAGATGCAAACGATCAAATTTCAGTTCGAAAAGCATTACAAGTATTGAGGCCTTCGATGCCTGGGACGGTACAAGAATTTGGTAAAAATATTCTCCAAAGTCTAGTGAAACATTCAGAAAAACATGGAACTGTGGTAGCTCCAACATTCGTTTTCAAGCAAACCATTAATGAAGGTGAGAATAAAGTCTGCCGTTTTGTTCACTGTTATCCTAAAGATTAATTATTTGATTTAATTTATGTCTATAGCAGCGTTTCCCAACCTTTTTTGGTCGCGGACTAATTTCTCATCAGCGAAAACCTTTGCGGACTCAAGGTGCGTTTATTGCAACCGTACTCTGTGTGAATCAAAATCGGAAATTCGACGCAATTACGAGTCCGTTAAAAGAGACGACTTTTTATTTTATTTTTTTATTTTTTTTATTAATGGCCTTTTCTGTCGCACTATATTCAATCCATGACAACGACGAGAATTTAAAATGTCTGTCTTGAAATGTCTTCTGTTTTAATTGTGTTAATGGTATCTCGCGGTTGCGTCGACTTATGACAAGATGATAGCATTACTTCTTCAAAATACCACAGCAATCTGCTAACATATCGCACGATTATATTTAGTTTTGATACATATTTTTAGAGATCTGGCAGATTTGTTATCGTCGTTAGAAAAATCCTATCTGCTATAAATTTCCAGAAAGTACAACTTGATTTAGTACTTATTAAAAATATTTTTTAAAGTATATTAGTAAATCAAAAATACATATTCACCGCCTTGCTTTAATATTAGTTTAATGGTGATCATTTTAATCTGCGGTTGTGTTGACGAAATAAAAGCAATACTATTCAGAAAATATCATGACAATTCGTGGACACAAAAATGCGTTGTAAAGTGCCCAATTATATTTTGTTTTGATTCGTATTTTTGTGAATTCAACAAATCTGAGCTGTTCGTACAACACTTACGGTGCTACAGTACTGTACGTACCAATGTGGAGGCCTTAGGGAAAATGCCCTGGTACATACACGGTGTCACCCGAAATTTTGCGATTTGCAATTTCTAAAGAAGCGTTTTTGATCGGTCGCGTACAATCATAAAACAAAAGTTATGGTGTTCTCCGTTTTATTTTAAGTATTTTGTATTGCTGCTTTTCATTTTAGAAAATTTGGGTTGCCCCCATTGACACCTACTAGAAAAAATTTATTCCTTGTTGTTCGAACTCGCGAGAAACACCACGCGTGTGGTCGTGTATTCGTCGGAAATGCGCTAGTGAGTTGTGAAATCCAATCGTTTTGACCAGTCGCGTCACCTGGTATCAAATTTCCGAATAGTGAATTGCTATTCTAATAGTTGAATATTCGAATATATGCCCAGCCATACTCAGTAACATAGTAATAATGGACTTGATTAATGTTATGTGAATGAACTTTTTTTTTATGTTTTATGTGAATTTTAACCTGAATCGTAACTTGGCTGATAGTTAACTTTCGCAAAAACGTTCGCGGCCAGCAGTGAATTTCTGATTCGTTGCGGACTCATTTGAGACCGCGGACTCGGGTCGGGAAACACTGGTCTATAGCCTACAAATAAAAGCATATTTCAAAATATTTGTTTTGGTCAATATTACATAAATCACATTTTGCCTAATTTGGGGTGAATAAATACAAGTACAAATAAATTTTTCTGCAATTCAATAACCATTTTATATATCCTTCATTTGATATTTTATGCAAAAGGAGTGAAATTTTGTTAATTTTATTCGTCATATTTTTTGGCTCGTACGAAGTTACTTCCAGCTATGCCTGAAATAACAGCAGCCAAGAAAATGCCCCTATTGTAACAATAGAGCTTAATTGAAAAACTAAAAATGGGTAAATGAAAAAAACAGTAAAAATTAGGAAAGAACTGAGTATTTAATTTGTCTAATACTCAGGAAGGATATTTCATTGTTTTTGTACAATAATAGCATGTTTCAACCAAACGTTTTACATTTTTTACAGTAAATAATAAATAAATACCATTCTGACTATTGTGCTTTATCTCAACAGGGGACAATATAGAAACCAGTATTGGTGGAAGTTCTGATTTTACGCTTGATCGAAGCAGCAATACATATGAAAAAACCTCAACAACTAAGAAAAAGGCAGCAAAGTCTAATGATGCAGTAGAAAATGAAACTAAAGGAGAAATACCATTCCATTTTAAAGGTAAGTTTACACGATTTGGGTGGATTCTACCTTTCCCAGGAAACTTTTGGGCTGATCTGAACACAAACTTTGCATGTAAGTGTTTATATCAGGGGTGGGCAGATTATCATTCGAACAATGCACCACTCGGCAACGAAGTTGCGAATTGATTATAACATTTTGGCCATAACACGGACACAACATCATTCTTCATATTGATGATAAGTGAATAAAAACAATGCATTGCTTGATAATTTATTAAAAAACACCTCATACATGTCCCTTTGTGGCAGGCTTTTAACACAGCAATAGAGTGTGCAATTGCACCATGATATGAAGTTTCATGTGGCGATTGTTCTTAGGCGAAAATAATGTGGCATTCGCGCTACCGGAAATGTGTGTATTTAGTATTTAGCCCCCAGTGGCTTAGATGTACAAAATACTAGATTTGTACTAGATGTGTTTCACACACAATTCAAATTATCTATCAAAGACATAATATTTTATGTTTTACAGATTCAATTCGCGTCGATCATAACCTGTTCCTGCTTTATAATGAAAGGCTAGCAAAGTATGGTGAAGTTTACAGAGGCTTGCAGACTCATAAAGGTTCTCGAGGATTCGATACAATCGCCATAAAATCTATCAAACTCAGCGATGAAAATAGGAAAGAAGTGGAAATCATCCGAAAGCTTCGTTCCCACCCAAATGTGATAACTGTCCTCCAATCTGGGACTTATTTCCTTGGTCCAATAGAACATTTATTCATCGCAATGGAATACTTTAAATCTAAAACCTTGACAGACTTTGTCAATGACGATCCAAAGCCTAAGACTGACGAAGTCAAACATAAACAAATAGAACAATTTGTTGAAGCTGTCGATCATATCCACATTAACGAAGTTCTACATCGCGATCTTAAACCAGATAATATCTTGGTATCGGACAATGGGAGAATTCTCAAAATAATTGACTTTGGTTTGGGAAAACAGTTAAGAAAAGGACATTTTGTAACCAAAATGAGCACTTTACGTGTTGGCACTGATGGTTGGAGGGCCCCGGAAATATACCTTTCTGACAGTTGTTCTAAACAATCGGACATATTTTCTTCCGCACTCGTAATCCATTTCATTTCGACCGATGGTTCCCACCCATTCGGTAATGACCCTGATAGTTGGAATCTCAATATCAAACGATATCAAGGATGTGACCTGAGCAAACTAGAAGGGGACCTAGAGGATTTGGTTGGTTGGATGCTCAGATTCCGACCACAGAATCGTCCAAATACCGAACAAATTCGAAAACATAAATACTTTCATGGTCAACTTGTTTGCCCTCATCCCAAACTGAGTAAGTAGAAAGGTTCTATAGTTTTTAATGAAATATTTCTTTAATTTAAAATCTGGATAATTGGTTGAACACGGTATATTCCACCTTAGTAGAAAATTTTGAACTCGTCAGAAACAAAGTTTATTGCAAGACTTTTATATGAAATTATTATTTAATAAAGTCTAGATTTCATATTTACCCCAACTTAAATCATACCTGACATATTGTGATAATACCCAAGATGTTTGCTTTATATAACATTCAGGAACACTTTTGCTTTGTTTATTCAATTAATTTTGCTCTGTGGTTTTTATTATTCTGTCTAAATGAAACCAATACTTTTAGGTTCTGTAGTACGAAGCTCTCCAGAGAAGGAAGTTGTAAAAGTCAGAGAAGAGTTTGAAGAAAGAATGAAGCAGATGGAATTAAAAAATGAACAAGAAAAGAGAGATGCGGAGAGAATGCGAAGAGAGCACGAAAAGGAAATGAAGCGGATGCAAGAAGAAAAGAGAAAAATGAAAATTGAGATTGAAAAGCTCAAAACTGGAAAGAAAGGTTTTCTAGATTTCTGAATTGTTATTGGTAATTGCGGGCTTATGCAGAAGAGACGGCTAATAGGCTTGGTGGTGTGGCTAAGCATTAGGAATATGCTCACCTTCACATCTCTGATTATCATGCATGGGTTCGCAGAATCGAATTCTCTGTGAGTTAATTATGTGCAATAAGATTGCTGGATTCCTTGTAGGGTGGTTCACGTAACCGCTGTTTGGGTAAACCATCAAGTCCATGCATCTGAAAATGAATAGCTGGCTGAAAACTAATCCCATACCCAACATGGACTGTTAACCAGACGAATGGCCATGGTTTGTCATATGATTAGGCCGTCTCATTCACTTTCCTCTCCTGCAGGTTGAATATATAAATCCTATTCTACCATACCATACTAGCCATATTATTCTTGTTACTGATTTTCCATCGAAACCATGAAACTGTGGTTTGTCTAGTATCCAAATTCCCAGCTTGGGGTCGTTAGTTGAACATTCACTGTCATGAGTGTTTTGAAAAAGTTAGTCAATATCAATAATTTTCACACTTTTTACTTATCGATTTTAATCGGTAAGTATGTTGATAGGTATTTGTCTGTCTGTTAGATGCACACGATATCTCACGAAAGCGAGATTGAATCTGCTCCAAATTTTGCATGTGCATTCATCATATGTCGGACCAGAAGCCTATTGATTTTGGATGTATAATTAGCGAGTTATTAATTAATTAGTGATGGGACACGCGGTGTCACTATAGAGGCATGAATCGATCAATAAGTCTCCGGTCTCCGACCGATATTCTCGTTTTTTTTTCATCATAACCTCAGAAATTTGTAACATTAAATATTTTTAAAATACCATAATTAACAAACTAAGCCATATTCTTGCAGCTACTGGTATCTATTGATATGTTAAATGGCACTTTATTTAAAGAAAAAAAAATGGCATTGCCCGCTCAATTTATTACACACTTGGGTATGAAGGGGCACAGGGTTTGAACCTGTGATGTGCAATCTGTAAAGCCTACAGGTAAGTCTAGCGATTGAACCACTAGACCATGACATAGCCCAAAACGCAAATAACCACACAATATCTTAATTACTTCTAGATATCGTAATTTTCATACTTTATAATTTTTACATATCATGGTATCTTTTACATATCATTGAACCCTCAATTACAAGCATTTTTGCTTAAATAAGGACAAACCTTATTTTTATCATTAAGTTTTGGTATCATTTATCCAGGTGCAGAATCTCAGTCTCCAAGTCAAACTACTTCTGGTCTAAGAATCATCAACCAACAACCACCTGGTGGGATGCTGTTATGGAATGTGTTGGAAGAATCACTGCCAGGATATGAAGGATGGAAGACTCTTGTCATCACCTACTCATTTCATGCTGGAAGTCTGGAGGTGAGTTATGAAGCAAATTTAGCTGTTGGTTGGAAAATAAATTACAGATTTACTGGAATCAAGATTCCTAATCGATAGGGTTTTGTTCTTAATATCAATCCTCATTGCACATTAGTAAATTTGAACATCGATCAATTAAAATATATTTCCTGAAACAAATACCAGTGTAATAAATGGAAAATCACAATTTGGTAAAAGTAATATTTAGGAATGCCCACAACCTAATAGTTTGCCTAGAATTCTTCGGTACAATTATTGTTATTGTGAATTTCTTGGATCGATTGATTGAGGGTTCACAAATATATATCTTGTTGTCAATTCAGAAGCAAAATCATTATAATATATATGTTAAAATTTACTAAATACAACATGATGTAAACAAAAACACGGATGGAAAATAGAAAAATTTCTGTCATACCCTTTGATTTCATAAATGCTCCAAATATGGTGATTTTGATATAATGGCAAAGACATCCCTTATAATAGTACTGTCATGTTACTTTTTTATGCGATGCTTATTCATGCCTTTTGCTCTGAACAAGGCCCTATACAAGCAGTCACAAATATTTAGTAGGCTGATTCACGTAATCACTGGTCTGTTACAGCCTCCTCCACCATCAAGTCCATGCTTCCGAAAACGAATAACTGGCTAAACAATCTCTTACGTGTTATAGACTGGTAACCGGATGAGAGGCTGTGGTTCGCCACTTGATTATGTCTCTTATCGGCTTTTCTCTCCCCAGGATAAAACGTTATTTCTGTCATATCTTATATTTAATGAAATTTGAGCTATTTAGACAGAGCTATTTAAGGAGATATTATTATATTCGTTTTTGTTTGTGCGGCGCTGAATTATTAGGAAAAAAACTGCTAACGGTGGCATGGTGCACTAATGAAAAAAGATTTGGATAAAATTCAATATTGTGATCATTAATGTGTACTTTATGTTTGTAAACATATATGCCTAATGTCAACTTTTCTCTGCCTGATTTTATTTTGAAACTTTAAACAAACTCAACAGCTAAATAATATGCAGCTCGGGAAATTGCAGCAAGCAGTGTCAATCTCTATTGTTGCGTAACACTAGTGCACCGAGGTACACCCTTTGGTAACCACTGCGTTAGGCCATTGCACAGTCCAGAAGCTTGAAAGAAGTATTGCTAAATGTTTGCATTCACTCACATGAGTTATTGCTTTTCATAGAAATATACAGAATCAGGCAGTATTTTGTATAATGCTTATATGGGTTGACTCTGGTTCATGCTTTGTCCATCTATAATTAATTTAAACTGGTATGCTGTTTGAGGAAATCCAAGCTTTGAAAGGTTTGTTATTGAGAAGAAGTTCGAATATAGAAGCCATTTGTGCAGTAAAATCATAACATAGCCATATATAGATCATGCTTGTTGAAACTTACTAAGTAATATTAAACTCATGGTTTATTCAAATTTAAGTTGTTCATAGAATTTAGTTCTTCTATGTTTAATTTAGAATTTGATTCAATGGTGCAGTAAAATCACGACAAGCTAAATATTTAGCGGGCTTCCTTATAATTTCTGATTTCAATGTTTAATTAAGTTGTTGGGTTGTCAAATTGAATTAATCTATTAGAAACACCAAGTATTTTGTTAGAAAATTTTTAACTTCTGCTAAACTTTCATAGATATTCTGATATTTATATCAGTTTAACAAACCCCCAGGTATGAGAGATGATTAGTTTTGTTTGTTTCTCCAGGGTATTTCATATGAAGCTCAAGAATTGAAGAATGAATATTTGCCGTGGGATGATGGACTGATATGTTTCAACTTACTCAGACAAGCATTCAATGCAGGATTGATTTTCAAGATTCAGGAAGTTGGTGACAGAAGAGGAAAAATTGTTTGGAACGATGAGTTTCCTCATAAGACTAATAAAACTGGAGGACCCGAGAAGTAAGTACTTTGTGTGTTTTATGTTTGGTGGGTATTTACTTCCTAAAATGTTAGGAAATAGGAAGGAATAAAACTAATTTAAAAATTTTGTTATTCCTTCGTATTGCACTACAACACAAAGTTCTTTTGGGAGTCCAATTTTAACAGCTAAATGAAATTACAGGGAATAAATTTCACCAATATGGATATTTGATTTTATTTTTCACGCTTTGCAAAGCATAAAAGGCATATTGGATAAAATTGCTTTCTAAAAGTTATTTTGTTTTATCCAGTCGTTTTTTTCTTGTTTTTGCTCAGAAGAAAACTGAACTCATCTAAATCTATATGAAGATGATTTACTCATTTAAAGGCACTTTATTGTTTCTAAACTACCAGGGTCTGATCCAAAGATCCCAAACAACCACTCAACCATTAAGACTACGACTTGTATATATTAAATAGATTAGATATCTAAATTATGGTATTGGTACCAATGCTATTGTTATACTTCACCCTGAGCAAGGCCACAGACAATCAGTAACTGACAGACTTATCAAATCAATGATATTCTTATAATTCACTCTGACCAACTATGTTAATTAAACTGCCTGGTCATCGTGTACAGGAGATTATTTGCTATGACTTTATAAATTAGTATGATTTTTATTTCATCTGAAATTGTAATAACCTGTGAGGTGAGCAGGGAGCGAAGTTAATTTTGACATTTTTTTGGTATCAATTCAAAACTAGAGTTGTATTTTTTCAATTATTTTTTTAGTTTTAGGCTTCTTAATTTTGAAGCAAAAGTCGAAATTTCTGACATACATTGGCGTACAAATTTTCTAACACAAACTAAAATGGTCACTCATGATAAATTTAAATGTTTTGACTTTTTCTCGATTGCTCAGACGAAATTTTGGTACTCCCAAAGTATTTGACCAAGATGGCGGACACTGGAATGTAGTATGTGTACCAGGTTAGGGTTAGGCTATAATTTCAAGTAGAAATACTACGGGAGCAATTGGCTAGTCTCCAAACTCGTAATAGAACTAAAGGAAATTGGAATAAAATTATGGTCGTATCTAAACCTGGTACACATACTACGTTCCGGTGTCCACCATCTTGGTTCACATGCTTCCAGATTATTTTTTTAGTTTTAGGTTTCTTAATTTTGAAGCAAAAGTCGAAATTTCTGACATACATTGGCGTACAAATTTTCTAACACAAACTGAAATGGTCACTCATGATAAATTAAAATGTTTTGACTTTTTCTCGATTGCTCAGACGAAATTTTGGTACTCCCAAAGTATTTGACCAAGATGGCGGACACTGGAATGTAGTATGTGTACCAGGTTAGGGTTAGGCTATAATTTCAAGTAGAAATACTACGGGAGCAATTGGCTAGTCTCCAAACTCGTAATAGAACTAAAGGAAATTGGAATAAAATTATGGTCGTATCTAAACCTGGTTCACATACTACGTTCCGGTGTCCACCATCTTGGTTCACATGCTTCCAGAGCGCCGAATATTTTTTATTCCTAGAACCCAATTCTGTATTTCAATACTCTTTATTGTTAAACCGAAAACTTACCAAATTTCCATCATATTTCTATAAACATGTTCAAACTAAGTTCATGAATACTTTTTTATTTCAGCAATGGATATCCTGATCCAAACCATACAATGAAACTGAAAAAAGCATTGGAGACGAAAGGATTTGAGTATGATGGATCAATATGGGTGAGATAGTTTTATTCATTTGACACTCTGGCAAAATATTGCTTCCCCACTTTCCCCAACATGCATCTATATGAATAGTCTCAAATTCTTGAAATAACAAGTTGGATAATCATCACTTGAAACTGAATTGAGTAATGAACTCGCATTGGTATAGGAAGTACATAAAGAGTTGCTTGTTTACATGAAATTTTCTCCGATTCTAATAATTCGATTTGAAAAGCCCAGCCCTAAAGACATCATAAAGTGCTCTACTGTCACATATGATGTCACAATAACAGGATTTTGTAAGGTTTTAAAATGCAAATTCAAAAGCGCAATCTTCAATGAGACACTCTATCTGATGGGCAGTTTTTATTGACAATATAGGTTCAAGGTCCACTTTTACATCCACTCAGTTCTTTTGATTTCAATCAGTTGCTTTGCCATTTCACTATTGCAGTGGTGACAAAACAATGTGTAGGATATGGAGATATAAATAATAAAGAAATGTTTTTTCTTCCACGTTTTTCCCTCTGAACAAGGCTCTGTACAAGCATCCACTGATATGTAAATGACTAGTATTTTACAGAGATACTGTAATTTTACCAGTGACAAGAAATTAGTTTTGAAGTTTGGGGAATGTGGAGCTTGGATATTTATAATAAATATAACAAAAACATAACATGTTTGAATAAGCTGCCCTAGCATAGTATACAGATATACAAATTCTAGTTTTATTTTATTGGCTCTCGTTTGTATTCTTTTTTCACTCTTACTACATATTTTGACTCCTGTAACATTTTCTTTTCACTTTCAGTAAATCTGATTCCACTTCTTCCCGCATACAATACTGAACGGAGATGTTGAACTCGCCTTCATTAAAACTTTATCAAAGACCAAAGCAATAATGCCATTGCAGCCATAATGAAAGTATAAAAATATTAATATTATGAGAAAATAAATTAATCAGAATTGTATTTGTGCCATTTCCGTGAGACTTGTATAATAAATGTGCTGTCATCGCAGATTACACATCTCAAGTTTAAATTCTACGGCCCAACTCACCAAGAGTGTATTAGATTTAATAGGCAATGTTGAACGGAAAAGATTCTGGTACTTTCAAATAAATAGTAGCTCCGCACATATTGTTAGATATCAGTGGCCGCCAAAAATTAGGATTTTTGGGGCATTTTTTGATAATTTTTGTGGCTACCATTGCCCTAAACAAGCATCCAATGAGATATATGGAACTTCTATATTGCACGAATGATTCCTGTTTATCACTGTATATAACACTCTGGGTGCGGTGGTGATTGAACTTGGAGGTGGTGGGTGTATGACCTGGGTTCTTTAGTCAGACATTTCAACATAGTCAAGTCCAAAACACTACGCTAATAGGATGGTTGCATTGCCAATATATTAGATTTGGTGGAATCAATCAGCATTATTATTAAAACATTAATTATTTGCATAAATTATATACTATTATGTGATCAATTATAAGATTAATATATGTTGAATTAGCTGGCATTTTTGTGTCAGTCACTCTACTTTAAAATTGGCTCGAAAATTCCTGGTTATGCCCATTGGTTCATAATTTGGCCAAAAATTAATTATTCAAGTCCAAATTGATTTAAAATGTCCAACCCAACCTTGTGTAATTGAGCTCATGAATTAGGCTGTATAAATATCCTATTTCTGCTCTGGGTCCTTATTGTCGACCACATCTAAATGTATTAGTAATCGAAACATCTTTAATTTTCAATGTCATTCTTATGCATTTTATTATATTACTTTTATGATATATTGTATAATTATTCCATAGGTTCCCCACTGCTGCTGTTAATTATACCACATTCCATCCAAACAATTCTTCTGAGCTTCTAATTGCCAACCACCGCTGTATATATCTATCAATATCCTATAGCAATTTTATGTATTATTTTTATAATTGCGAAACCAAGCGCAGTTCTGTATAATATAGGGTACTACCGAAGTATGTGAACCAAGATGGCGGACACCAGAACATAGTATGTGTACCAGGATAGGGTTAGGCCATAATTTCAGGTACAAATACTACGGGAGTCACTCGGCTAGTCCCCGAACTCATAATACAACTGAAATAAGAAAAATTGGAATAAAATTATGGCCTGAACCTAACTTAGTACAAATACTACGTTCCGGTGTCCGCCATCTTGGTTCACATACTTCGGGATTACCTAATATAAAGAATCTGACAATATACAAATCAAGATATCCAGTGGAATTCATTTTATGGAAATACATGACTTAGTATACTCTTGCACTTAAAAATTAATTTGGCTATGTGCTCAAGTGTATTCCATGTGTTCTCGAACAAATTTAATAATAATATGAACGAAAGTGTTAATATTTTTTCAACAATTTATGCGACCAAGCCAATACTGTATTTACAAACTATTGAGAGTTCTGAAGCAAAAATACCACTGAGTTATTATTCCAGTAAAATATTTTTTTATATGTTTCAACTTTATAAATAATTTGATATGCATTAAAGTGTTTTTCGAACCAATTCGATATAAAGAATGTGTGATCTTGCAAAATTGATTATCATGCTGAAATTGTTTCAATATGGGGGACGGCTACTTTTTTTCACTCTAAATGTCCAAAACCAGTCTTAGTAACCAATTTATTACACTATGAGTGGTATGGGGTTCAATTGTGAGTACCAGGTTAGGGTTAGGCCATAATTTTATTCAGATTTTTCTTATTTTTGTTCTATTACGAGTTCGGGACTGTCTGTGTTAGTCAAGTGAATATCCCCCTGCCCATAGGTTTCGGTCCTCTTACACAACTTGATGTAAAGTAGGCAAATAAAATTAGTTACCTCCATATTGGTACACATACTTCTGGAGCGCTCAGTTGTGTATAAAATAACAAAGTCCTTGGTATAGAGATTTCTGTCTTCAAACCAATAATAATTCAGCAAATCTGCTTTCAGTTTACATGACAAATTTAAACATTTTTATTACTGGATAAAGCCAACATGAGTATCAGGAATGTCCAATCTGATTCGAATAAATATGCAAGAAACGTGTCCTTTACTAACATAAGGAATATGTTCAAAAAAATACCATTTCAGTATGTATTTAAATAACCGGTACTAGATTGTTTATTTGGCCATTCCCACAGCTTCATTTAACATACAGTAGTCTTTCTTGTAGTTGTAGGCACAAAAATTTTGGTTATTGACCTATGACTTGAGTAGTTCGCTTTGCACAAGCTAGCTATTATTGAATTACCATTTACCATAATTAATCCTGAAGGTATCTGAATAGCGAGCAGTATGTTCCCCAGCTTTTCTTTTTAGGGGGGGTGTTTCAAAATTTAGGGGGTGGTAAATAATTTGCTATTAGAGATAAAACTAGGCTATTTGTATTCTTAAAAAAATGGTATGGAAACGATGTACACGGCCCCCCAAGTTGATTGACGCGAGCCAAAATCCACAGCAGAATGAAATTGTAGTGCCAGAAAAGGGGAACGAGGAAAAGTGCGGGACGACACGGCTGAAAAAATTTTGAGAAATAGGCACCAAAATAGGCTCTAAGCTTGATTTTAGATACACCTAGCATAGCAGTTTGTTATGTAATGAAATCAATAATTATAATATTTAGCTGATAGAATTCCCGGGGAATAGATAACAAGCACGGCTTTCAACCGTAAATATATACTACTACGTTTCAACAAGTAATTTGCAACTGATAGTGACTAATGAAGTTACTTGCTCATCTGGCATTGTATGAATGGCTACTTATGGCTTGTTTTGTTACACATTTCTAGTTTTCGCTGACAAATCGCTGAAGTTTGATTCTTTGCAATAAAGAAATAAAAACGCTGTCATTCATCTAAAAAACGTCTGTTTTCAGTGCCTAGTTTTCGTTTTGTGACATCTTTAAGCTTTCTTAATATACGGCTGATATCTAAAATACTGCAGTGTGTAATCCTAATACCCATACGTATACATAAGATACCGGAATAATCCAATTGTTACGAAATAAACGTGCTTAAACTGTGATAATGATGTAACAATAGACGGTATCTAAACTCAAAAGGTACCACATGAAGGGTTAAACTATTTCACTCAAGTTCGGCGGGCCATTTTGAATCGTCACGCGGGCCGTAATTGGCCCGCAGACTGCGGTTTAGAACCCCTCAGTGTAGAATCGCACCTCAAAATTAGGGGGGGTATTTGAAATTTTAATGGGGGGTGTTCAACCCCTAAAGGGGGGGTGTAGGGAAATCACTGATAGCGAGGAAATTACCAAAAATAAAAATTTCATTCCACAGTATGATAATAACTATAAAATAAAAAACAATTCACTGCTTTTGTCCAGAAGTAAGACTAGCTATAGAATTCCACCTATAGGGACAACGGCAATTTTATCTGTTTTCGTCTAACCCTAATTGGTATAAAACTCTAAAATGCTAAGTCTGTCACAGATGTGCAAATATTCCAACTTTGTATTTTTTTTTCTGAATGTTCTATTCAGTTCGATATTCATTTTGAAAACAACACCAGTGTGATTTTGTACTAAACCATTGCCCCAAGTAAGTACAGTACAGGGAGATGTGACAACCATGACCTGTGGTCTTTCCAATCTCATGCTTTATCAAATGCTCAAGTTGTGGAATTTGGAAACATCAAAATTGACATTGGAAATAATGTGTTCATTTGAGTGCCAACCAGAACCTCTTTCGAGTTCTTCCGAGTGTTTCTTGTCTAGAGCAAAGATTTTTCAACCTTTACGGAGGAGAGGAACCCCAATAAACATTTCCAAGGCTTAAGAACCCCTGTGTAACTGAATATACATTATAATATGCCAATCAAAAAAATGTGAAACGGAAATTTGATGTAGAGTAGAGCTAAGATCTGAAGCCCGAACCCGAAATTCGAGCCGGGTCTGGCTATTCTATCGCTACTTTTTTTTAAATGGGGCGTTATGGCCACGAGAGACCGTGGTCTGCAAAAAGGCAGAAGTTGCCTCATCAACACTACACTCTTGCAATGACAATTCAGAGATCTCCTGATTAAAATATGAAATTTCGGGTTTGCTTCAGGCTCGGGCCTGCAAATCCAATTAATTAGTCAGGCTCGGGTCGGGCCGGAATTGATCTTACCTCTTAATGTAGAGAAAATGAAAGTCTCTCATGAAACACACTTATTATATCCGTGTATTAATAATAAAATAGACCAGGGCTACTCAACTATTTTTACCGGAGGTCCGCATACAAAACTTCAAAAATATTTGGGTCCGGACTTTCCAGACATTATATTTCGGCATCCTCAAGCACACGATTCCTTGGCCGACTAATGATTATAAGCTAATCAAGATTGTTTGTTATGGCGTTATAGTTCTTTTCATATATATTTTAATCTATAAACTGATTTTATAAAAGGAAACCACATATATGAACCACATATATTTTCTCAGTACTGAGTTTCGATAGAAACACAAGGAATAACAAGAGCAAGGGCACACCGGAAGTATGTGTACCAATATGGAGGTAACTAATTTTTTCGTCTACTTTACAACAAGTTGTGCAAAGGACCGGAACCTACGGGCAGAGGGTATATTCACTTGGCTAACACAGACGTCCTGAACTCGTAATAGAACTATGGATATAGAAAATCGAAATTATGAACCTGGCACAATACTACAGGAGTAACCTTCGAAGCAAAATAAACTCCTCCATATTGTAATATAATAATGTCTGGGGAGTAGTCTTAGGGGATTCCCCCTCATGTATAACTGTCTTATCACTAGTAGTATCCGGTCAAGTGAGCACCATTTCAGATTCATTCTCTGGTTTGTCAGTCTTTCCAGAATCTTTCTGTTCAGTGGTTTATAAGTCTTGATCCAAATGAACTCTTAGATATCATCAGCATTTTCCCCTAAAATGCCATTTTCTGTTTCCAATCGGGATAATTCTTCGTAATCTCTGAGATATTGCTCATCATCAACATCCGCAGCATGCCTCTTCACAGCAACCATCTCGTGGATCTGAACATGTAAAGATAATTCAATGTTCTTTTTGTTTTGAAATAACTTGAACCTTGGCGCCCACCATGTGGATGAGGTATTTGCTTGAATAATTATTGTCAAACCTCCAGCATTACTAATGACAGAATGCCGAGTAAGAAAGGTTCCAGTCCTTCCAACAATAGTAGCCCATTACATATTGTTGGATATCAGTGGCAAATATATAATAAACTCAACTTAATTAATCACGTACTCCCGTAGTGTGTGTACCAGGTTAGGGTTAGGCTATAATTCCGATTTTCCTTATTTTAGTTCTATTATGAGTTCGGGGACTGTTTGTGTTAGCCAAGTGAATATACCCCCTGCCCATAACTTTCATTCCCTTTACACAACTTGATGTAAAATAGGCAAACAAAATTAGTTACCTCCATATTGGTACACACTGTTTCTACTATAAGATTATACATAAAAATGCTCAATGTTATGCAAGGTTACTCCCACAAATTGCCATTTTGTGGAAGTCAGAGGGTTAACCGTGCATATATTTACAGCAATTACGGAGGATACACCTAACGAATTTAGTTATGGGACTAATAACATGTTCTTTTAGTTTTACATCAAAACCAATACCCATAATCAAATTTGCACTAAACGGAAACAAGGGACCAGAATTGTGGGCCAGGGTAACTGAAATTGTGGGGTAACCAAGCTGTCAAGCACTACGACATAATTGAGGGATAACGATAAAACTGTATTCCGACGTAATTTTGACACTTTGGCAGTCACATGATTGGCCGATATAAATCGGTAAAATTAGCGGATACCGATCTTTCGAAATTTGTGAAAAACAGGGTCGCTATATATCGGCAGGCCGATGACGACCCTACCTCTGACCATAAATTTCAGTCTCTTTATACAACATGATGTAAAGTAGGCAAACAAAATTAGTTACCTCCATATTGGTACACACTGTTTCTACTATAAGATTGTATATATAAATGTTCAACACCACCAAGGTTACTCCTACAGTTTGCCATTCCACAATTTTGTGGTGGTCAGAGGGTTAATTGTGCATATATTCACAGCGATAACAAGACTTTTAGCAGGGTATACCTAATGAGGTTAGTTATGGGAATAATAACATGTTCTTTGACATCAAAACTAATCCCCAGAATCAAATTTGTGGCCCACTAAACTGAAACGTGGGACCAGAATTGTGGGCCAGGGTGACCAATATTGTGGGATGGCGTAACCAAGCACTACAACCTAACTGTTGACTAGAATAACCTTGGTCTCAATACCTTATCAATGAGTTCCATATTCTCTTTATGATATTGTTTTTCTGCTTGATAAGTGTTTTCAGTGATCTGGATGATGAAAATGGAAGATATAAATAAATTATAAATGCTGCTAAGTCACGGTTCATTGATTTTGTGGAAATATTTGAATCCAAGTAAAATATCATAATTATTCTTTGTGAATATTATTCAGCTATGCGGTTTTGATTTTTAATATTAATTTACAAATACTATAATGCAGGTGTGTGCAACCTGCGACTGGCCCATGGGCCAAATGCGACCCACAAGAGTGGCTATTTTGAATGATATGCGGATCGCGAAATCAGTTTTCAAATAAATTTAACTTGGTACGTGCGAGTAATTCCAATCCCTGTGCGTTGCGAAGCCAATACCTGAGTCCTGAGTCTAGTTTATACATGCCTACGACTTTACAATGCCGTAACAGGTTTCGCCCAGTTATTTCTATCTGGACCTCCTGTATTAAAGGTTGCACACCCCATGCTATAATGTGTTCTTCTTAGCTTTTAGAATTGTCGCTCCAATATGCCTGATCCACTGGTTCTCAACCTTTTTGGTGAGGTGGAACCCATTGGAACATTCCATAGGCTCAAGGTACCCCAGTACAATACTTAACAATAATACTTGCAAAACATAGCGAAATTTAAAGTGTAGCAGGTCTGATAATAATGTTAAACCTAATAAAAAGTATATTTTGTTCTAAATACAAGTAAATACAAGTATTTGATATTATTCAAACAATATATAGGGTGTCCATGAGGTCGTAAAATTTTGTTAAAATTGGAAAGAAATTTATCGATACCATATATTGTTTTGGCCCTCACAGATGTACCAAATGAAGTAACAATACTTAAACAATTACCGATTTGAAAAAAAAAATGGTTAAGAGAACTGACCTCATAACAAAATTAAAATTGTAAAGGGACTTCATGGACACCCTGTTCATATATTATATAGACTGTCGCATTTGAGTGTAAACTTTTGGAGCCGCTGCACTGAACTGGCCAAAACCTAGGATAAAAACCTTAATTTGCCATTTCTACGGGAAATAGGATTGTTCGTATTAGAACCATAAGGTATTCTGAAAGACTGAAACCCTAAATTAAATGTTTATTAGTAATAATACAGCCATTTTATAGTAAAACAATAGACTTTCTTCTCCCTGAGATTATGAAATACATTGACAAGATCCACATACTTTTGGTGCTTAGTAAATTTCATCATCTGCTGTCTGTACTTGGTCATGATAAGTTTCAATGCGTTCTAATGGTCGGTCAAACTTTGTCGCAATTCATCGTTCTCATGTTGTAGGAACCATGTAGGTTGCATTATTTTCTTGCTGAATACCTTCAAGATAAAAATAGGAATTTGGCAAACATAATTTTGTTTCCATCAGAACTATTATTTAAGATTTACATTTGATTATTATTTACAATTTTGGATCAATATTCATATTTTTTCTCTTCAAACTTATACCTTTTAAAGCGAAGGCCTGCAACATTGTTTGTCAGTTGGCCATATACCCAACTTCATACAGTTAGCCGGGCCACACAAAGAATTAGTTTATCCATGCGAAAAAGGCAAGAGAAGAGAAAATATGGCTATTGCTCAGCCTTACAGTATTAAAGGCACCGGCAAAACAGCAAAGATTTAACGCAGCGAAAAGATGTATTTTTATCCACATGAGCGTTTTTTTAAACATAAACTATTGGTTTCAGATTTTATGCTTGATGGGAGAATCCGAGCGTTGACGAGGGCCACACTGAACGGCTTGGTGGGCCGGGTTGTGGCCCACAGGCTTCCTATTACGCACCCTTGATCTAAAATAACCACTGATTTTAGACTATTTCTTAATTAATTTCAAATTGAATTTTTCTGTTCATGCAGAGTTTGGTACAAAATAGAAAACGATCGATTTATGTCCGGAAATATCATACAGGCAAGTTAAGATAATAGAAAAAATATTGCGTTAAAAACATGAGCAAAGCTAGTACTGGTTCTTGTAAAAATTTGTCGTACCTAAGACTAAAGTAGACCTTGGTCTGTGTCCAGCAACTTTGTTCAGTTCAATCAAATTTTCTTGATATGTGTTTCTTGCTTCCATCTCTTTCTTGAGAGTTGAAGCCTGTTCGGCAAGACTTCCAGCAGCGCTGTCATGATCCTGGGATAATAGATGAAAATAAAAGACTAGTTAAAATGTTAAAATATTCAAAAGTTGAAATGTATTGTTGCATGTTAGAAAGCACTGATTAGTTTTTTGATTGTTACAGTGTAGCTGTAAATGCTTGTTGTTTGTATTTAAAATATTTCTAATTTGACGAGGACATCATTAATGACGTGCACGATATTTTTATGATCTGAGCCTTGGAAATGTTTTTAAGAGTCGAACCAGAAAATAAGATTGAAAATCACAGGTTAACTATTGTGTTTCCCTAAGAAGTTTAGAACAACTCAAAATACCACTTTTCCCAACCAAGGTGGAATTTCTTGATATGGACAGGAACTTTGTATTTGGTGTAGTATTACTTATTTTCTTTATTATTAGTTTAATACTGATTTCATTAGCTATGACATTATGAACTACTTAAAGTGTAGAAAAAGCTGGAGTGTGACTTGTGCACAACAATAAGAATATATTAAAGCTAATTTACATATAAACATTACATAATATGGGATTAGTTAGCAAGTTTTCTTATTTGCTTTAGATACATGGTATTTTAAACCTTTAAAAAAAAATTATTAAAACAATTAACTTTCCTAACCCTGGGATTTAAAAAAATGTTGATACTTTTGGTGCTCGATAAACTTCATCATCTGTTGTCGGTACTTGGCCATGATAAGTTCCAATGCGTTCTGGTGATCGGTAAAATTTTGTCGCAATTTATTGTTTTCATGTTGGAGAGATCGGATCGCAATATATTCTTGCTACCTTGAAATTAAAAATGCATATTTATTTACCACATGAGATTTTATGCAATTTATTTACAGTGCAATTTGGTACTCCTGTAGTATGCGAACCAAGAGGGCGGACACTAGAACATACTACAGGAGTACCTGCAATTTATTTCATGCAGAATGAAAAAACTTTTGATTTGATCAAGGTTTTTATTTCTGATTTCTGAGCAAGACATTAGACAAGCACCCATGAAACATTCGCTTGATACCCAGGCTGATTAGGGCTGATCTAGAAGTTCAAACCAGTCTATTACTGCAGTGTGTAATGTCTTGCTATTGCCTCATCCAACTAATCCTTACTTAGGATTAGCTCACTGGTGGGCCAATAATATGATAGCACCCCAAAGAGGTATATGAATGCAAGGTTTTCATATTCAAAATTTCAATATCCTGAATCAGACCCAACTATGATAGATTAGAATAGGAAATGTAAGGTTGGACAATAACAGTACAGAACCTAAAACAGGAGAAGGGAAAGAAATTCACATTAATTGCAAGGTTATTGATCCGAACAATTTACCGGGGGGTAGTTGTTTCAGCCAAAACATTTTGGACAAATTTACTTTAAACCATTTAAATCTTATTTTGTTTTCATTGCATCAATTATTTAGTTTCAAGTGTTTGTCTTGGAATGTCACAAATACGAAGAGTGAAAACAAGAGTTAGAAATCTTGATATAAAACATCTTTCATACCCAAGACTAGAGTAGAGTCGTGTCCAGCAGCTTTATTCATTTCAATCAAACTTTTTTTGATATGTGCTTCAGGCTGAGTTGAAAGCAGTTTTGGAAACCTCCATAGTCCTGAATGGAGAGAATAATGATAAGAAATATATCTTGAACTTCTTGTTTTCAAACTCCCGACACAATCACTTTAATTGATACAAATCACGGCGCATTGAAAAAAATATTGATTTTATTAACATAAATTACGACAAGTCTTCAAGTACCGTACAAGTTTTACATTTCATGCACATTTGATCCATACTACCCAAAAACCAGGCTTGTCCATCGACCATCGGACATATTTTTTTGTCTCATCCCACCCCATGGGATTTCGATTGGTATACAATTCAATAAAAATTGTTATTTAGGTTTGGCGAAAAAAAAACTGTATTTAGATAGATAGTTTATTTCGAACTCCATAACAAACATAAATTAAAAATGGAGTGTTCTGGAGGGCAAGCAAAACCTATAAAAAAGTTTAAAACATGAGAAGTATCTCATGTGCCTGCCCACCAGCACGCACACAAAAACATAAGCCCAATTAAATGAGGCTTGGGCCAAACTTGACAAACAAAAAACACGATAGTGTTAAACTTTCGGGCTGTTGTACTTTCAACAATTACGTTGATAATGACCCATACCTACAACCTCATGCAAAGATAATGTGGGGAGTGGAATGTGATAAATTGGCGACGATAGTCATACTCATGAAGCCATGAAAGCTTTAAGAAAAACCAAGCCACGAAAAACTACACTGATTGCTAGATTGGGCATTGCGGAAAAGGTGATAAGTGGTTTAATATACAAACAAACACAAAGCAAAACCATGGCAGCAAATTCGGTGTGCGGACACTCATAAAAGCAATTATCAGGGAAAACACTAATCACATGTGAGCAGGTCTGTAGCCTAATCGATACATTGACGTGGCCAACATTGTTAAAACAGTACCGGTATACACACAGAGAACAAATTAAAAATATGCTATTAAATGAATGTTCAAAAATGTTGCGCATTGATATGATCATAAGTTGCACTACAAACTATTTACACATGTATAGTTGAATACTCAGTTAGTATTCAAGCGGAATTTCTAGAAATAGCAGTATTTGCTGACAGTCCGAATTCAGTATCATACTCTTTGTCACAAAATAAAATATCTGAATCAATCCCTGATGTATTCATCTTTCGATTCTGTTATGATGTCCGTATTTCCATAATATTCTGTACCACAACCTGACAACCAGACTGGATTCCATGGCAGATGCACGCCCGAGGGCGCTAGCGCTCCACAAAAATGCACGCGAGCGAACTCATTTTTGCACGCCGAAAATTTGCAATTGCTCATTAATGTAAATCGGTTTAAATAGTTTG